AATTTCCCCCCCCCCCCCCGCGCAGTCGGTCAAGTGCTTTGGCAAACTTGCTTGTTCGAAATTCCCGGCACACCGTACTACTACTGCCACGACTACCACTCGTACTACTGCTACTGCCACTGGTTCAGGGATTTGAGGATCGATCAGTAACCCTGAGAAACCCGGAGGCCCTGAAGATCGGGCCGGCCCGAGTGTGAGGTTGCAATACGTCTTAATATAGCGAACTGGCATGCTGCGCATGCGCACCTGAAGCCCTGAACCCATGTCGGCCACATGGCCACAAAACCCTAAACCCTGGAGCCCTAAACCCTGGAGCTGATGTTCTGCTGGGACCTGGGAGATGGCACCAGGGGACCCCCCAACACCCAGTCCGGGCCCTGCCCCAAGCAAGGTGGAAGTTCTACTCCACCTTCGAGCCCTTGATCAGAGACTTGGCCAGCTGTGGGTACCTGTGGTTCGGGTATCCGACGGGCTTTGGGCCTACGATCCAGCATGTTCGGTTCGAAGTCGTAGAGAATTTAGATCCCTTTACTTAAAGGAACCCTTGAAGGAGCCCTTTTCGAATTGTCCCCAAGCCCAGGGCAGCACCGCACGATGTATTACGTGGTCTCCAACCTCGTGATGCCTTTGACCCGTAGCCGACGGCTCTCATACGCCGAGCTCGCAGGCCCAGGTTGTGGGCTGTTTTTGGCTTGAGAACCAGTTCAGGGTAACAGGGTTTGGGGTTTAGTGTTTGTGGTTTGCCGGTGGTTCAAGGGCTTCTCAGAGTAGGGGTAGTAAGGGAGTTTCAATTATCCCCCTCTTGCAGCGTATCTGATTTTTGGACGTTGTCAAAAGCCTCTGTTCGAAGTGCATGCCCGCAGGTCCGAACAAAGTCAATTGGTTCATCTCACATTTTTGGGGCACATCCTTCCGCCACTTTGTCTTCAGCATCCGGAAGCATGCGGAGAGCGTGGCCGTGGTGAACAACTACGCCGCTCTGAATGCACGAGCTTCCTGGAGCCTCTGCGTTTCAACTGTACTGCAACCACAATTTACTTCTTTGCTTGTCAATGGTCTGCTGTGGAGATTGCGAACCAAACCCAGAGGAAGAGAGGCAAGGCGAGGTCGTGACAATGACTATGCATACTTGCGGCCCCCCATCATTCATGGGTCCTCCCGGCCGGAGACTTGGTTTAGGCTTCGCCGTATGTCTATATTTAGATCACTAACAAGTTGGCCTTATCAGCCTTGTTTTATGACCAGCAGTGACTTTTTCTGTAAGTCCAGGTGCCTCACCACTTGCAATTCTCCAATGTCGTGGTCGAGACATTGGTCGGTCGCGGTGTTATTGTCGGGAGGATTGGAAAGTAGCAATCAGAAAGACATGGGTGAACTAGAGCAGCTACAGGGTGTTGGGTTTGGAGTGCGCCAGGAGGTTTGTCTTAATACTGGCGTCTGAGCAATTACCCCCAAACTCGATTCCAATCATTCAGGCCCCCTGTATCAACTCGCATCTTCAAAGCTTATCGACAGTCCCGAACCCTAAACTGTCAAGCCCTTGTCTACTTCCTAAAAGCCTTAGAAGCTGAAACGCTGCAACGACTTGCCCAACGAAGCGGTAATCTAAGATTGGCAACTGGGCCGATCGCACGTATTGGATTTGCAGCCTCAGCCGCCTCCGCTGAATTCTGTTTAGGGTTTCTAGGGGGTTCGGTCGATTGAGGGTTTCACTTGCAAGTAGGGTTGAGATGGACTCACAGGATTTCGGTGTTGGGCTTCCAGGTTTCGGAGAGTTTTGGGGCGCGGGGGGTTTCGGGATTTGGGACTTGGCCTTGGCTAAGACCGCGGGTTCACGAAGGGGCTTGGACGTATGTGTTCAGGGATCGGTTTCCCTGAATCTTGAGCCTTATGACCGTCAGGGCCTTATATGAGTCAGCATAGGTGGAGTGTATCTTTCAATAAATATATCGGGACTCCATGGGCAAAACATTGCTAAGCAATCAGGCCCCTATATTCACTCAGGCCATTCTGTTTCCCATTCCTCGAGCGGCCCAGTTTGTATGCCTTAATATACCCCAAGGGTCCTCACATGTATTTCGATTTCGGTGTGCCCTCAGCACTCGAGCGAAGCATGTTCCATTTGGGTTACAAGAGGGTGTAATGGGATGCGCAGCATATTCTGGCAAGAGGGTGGAACAGAACTTTGAGAAGGTGTCCCCCCTGAGATGTTAGGATTCAGGTTCTCAAAGGTCTGCGCTGTATTGGTCTTGCAGCGCTGTGTCGCGATCGGCAAGCATCAATAACCCAAGGTAACAATCAATGGAATGTCGCGGAGGAGGTCGGGCAAAGCTGGGAGGAGTCATCCTTCTATCTGACGCTGACCTGCGGGTATTGCGCTGGAACTGCCATGACCCTTGGCACTCTCTCTCTTAAAGAAGAGGTTGAAAAAACCCAAACTTGCGCCGTAGACCAAAAATGAGCCAGCATTCCTCCTTTAGCAAATTTTCTCACGAGCACTCCACGGCTCCTCGGATTTACGGGTTGCTCACTGTTGGTGACCGGGTGGCACCTCTACTATCGAGCTATGCGTCTGGATTCCTGTCTGACCTTTAAAATGTGCAGCGTGCAGGGCCTTGCTCCGAGCTTGGCTAACTCCTGGCCCTGGCCTTGCTGATGTGCTCGAATTGAATCTTTGTGGCTAAGGATCCTTGATGACGAAGCGATGCCGTTGACACGAGCATGGTGCTTGTTCGAGGCTTGGGCTATAGAACCTGCCAAGTACTTGCATGTTAGAACTAGAAGAAGTAGACAGACGCGCGCCGCGCGCAGCGGCATCTCCTCTTCGTTGGCTTGCTGCTGCAGCTGATGCTGCTGCTGGCTGCCGCTGTAATACCGCGATGCCCACGACCGCGACCATGACCACGACCGCCAACAAGATCGTCGACGACGACGACCATCACAACGACCATTCATGACCATCACGATTACGACTACCATCCGGACGACGACGACGACGATGACAATCACCACCGCCGCCACCGCTACCATCAATCAGCGATGGGTAATGGCTTGAATTGTTTCTTTGCAGGGGCTGGAGACACGCGTGTCCCCTTTCAGGTGCTGCAGACGAAGGAAATCGGCGATCGCCAAAATAGTTTCGAAGGAGCCGGTTTCGGAGTCTAAGGCTTTGGCTTTTGGGTTGGGCAGGTTTGGGAAGAAGGGTTTACTATAGATGGTTCAGGGTTTTCCCGTTGTGCTTGAGTGTCTACCTGCAGCCGGGCTTGGGGGAAAGTAGAGACGGTATTAAGTTAGTCTCGGGGATGTTGAGTGCCTGGTTGAGACTCGTTGTGCCCGTCAAGTTGGAGTTTGGACTTTCCGTTTTCCTTCGGCTCAAAAGGCCAGTGAGGCTCTCAAGGGGCTGAGATGTACAGAACTGTCACGTTGTGGGTTCCGGTGTCAGGACCCTCAACGCCCCAACCCGAACATTGGACTCGAAGCGCGGGCCCCTGAAACTCAAGTCTTGAGTCTTGAAGTTGAAGTCCTGCTGTACCAAAGTCCCGCGCTCCTCTGAAGGACTTTGGCTGTGCACTGCCACGGGTGTCCTGCACAAGGGCAAGGTGCCTTTCTGGGTATCCTTCGGAGCTTCAGTTCACCTTTTTAGGCCGCCATGCAATCGCAGCCACTATGCGAGGGTGGCGGGTTCTTGGTCTGTGGCATGACTATCAGATACTAGGAGGGCGAGCGAAACCTCGGTCGTTTGGTAATCGTCAAGGTTTGCACCCTTCGCGCAAGCTCTTGCGAAGGCGAACATAAGCTTTGCACGTATTGAGCAGGGTACTATGAAAATATCGCTGATGTTGCGAAGTATTGCGCGCAATGTGCAAGGGTTCCTAATCGGCTCGCAGGAACAAGGGTATAGAATAACTGTCATGTGATAGCCGACGCCATACCCTTTCTCTCGCTTTTTCTGTCTTTGTCATTCTCTCTGTACAGTTATACATACATACATACATATATACACAAACATACATACATACATACATACATACATACATATATCTATCCATATTCGGAGACCGCGTTGTGTTTCTTAGGTTCTCTGTCGACTTCACTCCATTCCCGGCTGATCGCATCTTCCAAGTGTGAGTACCCACGAGAACCACAGCGGTAGTCCGTCATTTCGGCTTACTGGTGTCTAAAGCCACTCCGGACCCTGAACCTCAGCTGGACCCGGACCAGCTAGGCTGTCTATGCTGTGGACCCGAGACGAGAGATTTCCCAGAATGAGACCAGGCTTTAACAAACGGGAAGCAACGTCCGCAGCATGCACTTGTCGGCACAAGCGACTAGGGAGACAAAGCCTCAGCCAAAGCTGTTCTCGTGGGTCCATGGACAAATGAGGGAATCTTGGCGCCAGGCGGGTGTTGATGTCGCCATGCGCATAGCCGAGCGGCTATCAACATTGAAGCTGGAAGATGCAACTGCCTCCGTGCAAAAGGATAAGGACATGAAGCCCGGCACAGGTTCATGGTTTGGGAATTTCTGTATTCATGGGCTTCTCTGCGATCGTGGGCCCGGTTCACACCTAAACCCCAGAAATGGCCCTCTTGATTCTGCTTCAGCTAGTTGCAGGGTGTTGGAGATAGTTCGGTGGTAGCCAGTTGACCAGCTACGATGAAAGTGAGCTGCTTCTGGTGTTGGTTAGGTCTATGGGCATGGATTTCGTCTGTTTCATACGCGTGGAGAGACTTCTTACTGGAATCCCTGCCAAACCCTGTTTGTTTCACGCCGACCTCTTACCATGGAACATCGCCTGGCCTGTCCGAGTTATGAGAGCGTAAACCCTAAAGCTCGGAACCTCATAAAGCCATGCCTGCTCGTGTGCGAGTTTGTGAGTCGAAACCCTAAACCCTAAACCCTAAATCTCCGTGGGAGGCGAAACCCTAAATCCCCGAGGGTGAAGCCTTGCCTGCCTGGTGCGAATGTGAGTCGAAACCCCCGAGGATCGACGACCTGGTCTCCCAGATGCCGGGCGGCTTCAATGCCATGAACGCCTTCGTCAAGCAAAACATTGCCGAGGCTCCATGAAAGCGCGCCTTTAACACGGGTTCCGTGCAAGGGTTCTTTTGCCGGAAACCAGAGAAGTAATTCTGAATCGGAATATAGGCTAGGGTTACCACAAAGGTTGCTAGAGTTAGTACTACAAGGGTTTAGTATCAGGGCTTGATTATCGAACAAAAATTCGAAGGCCCTTCCCTTCGTCAGGCTTTATGGTGCATTGTATATAGGGCACATGGATAATCATGGATTTCGGGTGCTTGCGGGAGTTGGGCTTAATTAGTCTTTCCAGGTTATTTGGGTGATCCGGGCGGACTTGTATCTAGGCTTACAGTTACAACCAGCTCATGCACTCCCTAGCCACCCGTACATCAAACCTATTTGCGAACTGTCCTCGTCCTTCAAGCCTCTTCAAGCAGGTTTAAGCTTAGGCGCTCTTTTCCTGTAGGTGCTTGCGTGTAAAGACAACTCTCGATCAGGCTGTGTTGGGTTCGAGGTCTGGAGATCAGCACGACTGCAGGAAGGAAATGTCGACCTTTCTTTCGAATGTGAGGTGAGGATTGAGAGCTAGCCGCTAACGAGGCTTCGGGGCTTCAACCGGAAGCTGACAAATGTTCAATGCATGAGCTCACCTGTCAGTTTGATTGGCCATAAATATCCCATGCCTTGTTTTTCTTAAGAGAGGGAGGGGGCTTTCTGAGCAGCGTCAACAGAGCTATCAGACATGGACGTCCTTCGGAAAGAGGTCTGAGCTCTCTCTCGCTCGTACGGAATAGTGGCAGGATCGTAGTTGTGAAACGAAGCCCCAGATGCCAATCCTGGAGATAGCAACGCTCAAGCAGTGAACAAGTCATGCTTGCGAAGGTTTGTTGGTGGGCAGGCAAGCCAAAATCCTGAACACTGAACTATAAATCGGGAACTGGCGAGTTCGATTTGGAGCTGAAGGGAATATGGACAAAGCAGGAATGGTGGAATGAGGCAGCAAGACACGACCTTGAAGGAGAACCCCACGGAGCGCAAGGTTCCAACAAGGAGCCACATAGAAGCCCTAGAACAGAGCCACGGCTTAGGGTTCCTAGGGTTCTAGAACCCTGGGTTTTTTTCCCCTCTTTTTGACCTCAAAAGTCTCTGCCTTCCCACCTTCTTTGAGCTACCTTCCCTCTAAGGGCGTGGGCCATGGGAGGGCCCAGGTTCCGTCTCATTTACCAAGCAAGGGGCACAAGGCTAGTTGTAGATTTTGTGTAAAATAGCTCGGATCCTTATAAGAGCCTCTATAGATACCCCCCTTAACCCAAATAAGCTCGACAGGCTTACCGCAGTAGCATACGGTGGCCGTAGAAGTTCTGCTACAAATGCTGGGTGTTGGTCGTCAGATTGCGTCGTTGCTCTCAGTAGGCACTTGCCCCTTCAGCAATCCCCCAGTCTAGACATGTTCCCGAGGCCCTCCTGCGCATGCAAGAGGCATTTTCCAGTGCCCCTTGGCTTGCGGTGTGCTCCCCGACCCCAAGAAGCCTCATCCCGGCTGCCAGCTTCAGAATGAGGAACCTCCCCGCATGCATATTCAATTCGAGCGCATGTCTAGTGGCTGCTCGTGGGTTTACAGGCGTATGTCGGCACGTTTTTTGCTCGCATTCAGAGAGGCAGCATCCTGTACTGTTGTACAAATGTGCCTTTGCACGGGCTGTTTGTTTATCACGTCAAGAAAGCCGTACAGTCAGATGGTGTCAAACAGCTCAGCAGCATGTCCTTGCCTGTTGAGGTGTCCACACTTCTCTTGTTGCTGCTATAAGGTGTATTGTGACTCGTGCCGTTGGACTATGACCGACCCCTCCCCGAAATATCTCAGATTGAGTGCCAAGTCCGCAAACCAAGCTCAATATGGCCCTGAAGTCCTAAACCTACAGACCCCAAAGCCGCTAAACCCAAAAGTAACGAAGCCTCAAGCTCGAACGCCCTAAATCTAAGCCTTTCTAATCCCTGACTCCAAAACCCTTAACCTTCCATCAGTTTCCCCTGCGTTGCAGGTTCTAGCCAAGCCGCAAGGATAGTATCCCCAACTCTCCCCCCTCAAAAAGCTGAATAAGGACAACCGCAAAAAGAAACTTTTCAAATCCCAACGAGCCAAGGACTTTCAGAAGCTCATGGGATCGCTAGGCCATGCCAAACAAGGCCGGGAACCTGCTAATAGAACGGATATTAAATCCGGAGTTTTTTTGTAGTTTTTCGCACAAGCAGCGTGGGTGCAATCTGCACCAAAAGTCCCCTGTGCAGTCCCTTTTTCTTGTAGGCTCGCCTCGAGCCCTCCTTGCCGGGTCCACCCCGCTGGGGATAAAGGACTCCTTGCGTCGCAATGAAAGAACAATGGTAGTATCATCTTATGTTCAGTAGTTACGGGTAGTATCCATATAGTATCGTGAGCCGTTCATTAGTTACGTTTCAATAAAAGGCGCGGGTTGAGTCTGGGGTCGGGTTCTGGGGCTTCGTCAGCCGTCTTTGCAAAGTTTATAGAGCATAGTACAACATTGTGTTCCAATACAGTATATTATATTGCATCACATCATAGTACATCATATTAAGGTAACCACCGGCTGCTTTCGCATGCATGCGCAACCTTGGCTTCTTTCGGGCTTATAGCTTCTTTTTTGGTTCTGTGATCTGCCTGGCATTGGTTGGAGGGATCTTGTGAAATTGGGGTTACCGTGTTCCAGTGTGCGTGTTCAGAGTACACGGTTCGGGAGTGCATGCAAGGTCTGGCATGCTCGAACTGCAACGATTTTATTGAATTTCTGCCGACTCTCTGCTCAAATCCTCAGTCCGTCCTGTGGAGGTCCTGATCGCAGTCGAGATGCCAGGTCATAAACGTACTCCAATTCCTTAACCCTAAATTTTATGCCCTAGAAACCGCAAGCTCTAAACCCCGCGCGTCCTTAAACCTTACAGGCCTTTGCCTGTTTTCTGGCATGGCTAGCAGCAGGCTTGCATCCCGGAACAGTCCACTCTCCGATTTGTAGCCCTTGTACAGAAACCGAACTAGAACCTGGGATGCAAAGCGGCCCCAAACTCTCCCATAGTATCCCTCATAGAAACCCTAAGACAGCCCCAAGCCTTCGTAATAGCCTTTGTATAGTAGCCGTTATAGTGGCTGTCATAGTAACCTCAAGCCCTATGAAGCCTAACACCATCAAGGCCCAAACCCATAGTACCAGAGTGATGGTGCTGCCCCCCAAAAAAACCGTCGCACCCCTTAAATCGATGCCCAAGCAGTTCGAAACTCCCCGAAGGTGCGCCAAGTCCTGAGCGAGGCGCCTGGGAGCCCTGCAAGGCGGAGGAGGCGGAACCCGAGGAGTTTGGGCTGGGGGGGGGGGGGGGGGNNTTTTTTGGGGGGGATCATTTGGGGGTTGGTTCTGGGGGGTTTAGGGCTGTCGGGTATGAGAGGGGATGAGACGTTGGGAGGGGATTTTGAGATGCCAGGATGCATTGACACCATGTCAACATTCAACCATCAGAGCTAAGCCGCAATGCCGAAAACTAGGCATAAGCTCACGAACCTAGCCTAAGAAACGCGACCTGATGCGTCCGGCTTTGCAGGAGCAGGCTGTGGAGCTGTCACTGAATGAGAGCCAGTCGCGAGAGCCAACGCCCATACCGTAGCCTTCGCCACGCAGAGCTGTGCAACCTGCCTAGACGTTTGGGTTCGGCGTGTGGAGTTTAGAAGCACCAGAGCGCCTCGGTGCGTTGGGTTTACAGTGTCTCAGTCTCGAGCCAAAGGATGCGCAAGTTCAGCACGAAGCACTAACCTCCGAGACAGCAAGCAGAGAGTACAAAGCTCCTTGCTGTTGACATCTACTGGCCAGGCTCCTCAGTGAGCAGAAACCCACGACAAATGCACCACTCAGGAAGGTAAGCGGCTTGTGAAGAAGGATCCTCTACATCCCCGATTCGCACGAGCCCTCGTTGCTTAAGCCTTCGTTTCTGGCTTGTCACATTGGAACCTGGCCTGGCTAGCTTTCGCTTGCCTTCACGTTTGGTTCCATTTTCATGCACAGCATGCCCGCGAGCACGAGGAGCAACCCCTTGCTTCGCATACTAAACACACGACCAATAGAATGCAGCCTTCAAGCCCCAGAGGCCTGTAAGACTACACCCTACAGTTCCCCTGGAGCAGTTGGGATGGAGAATATACTGTGTTTAACTCCACCGGTGGACACGACAGTTCTGCATTCTCGTGCTACTCTGCTACTTCATCAAGCACCCATAGGTACTTTGTGACTGCAGCAGAAGCGTCGCTACACACCCCCGACAAAACAGCATTTCATCGTGAAGACACTCTCAACCCCAAAACTTGAAGACTCCCTAAACCCTAAACTCTATAACAACCCTTATACCCCTATAGAACCGCCAGTAGCCCGGGAGCCCTTGCCTCCCGTACTAGTGCGCTCAACTTTGCTCGAAGCATTACGGTTGTATGCCCGGAACCCCTGGGAATATATCATGAAGCAATCTTCTTTCATAATCCCTCTGTGCGGCAGGCAAAACCCGATTCCCTTAACCCCAAGGACGAATCTTTATCAATCGGCGTGCATAGCTTTGTTTGGGATG